GATAAAATAAAGTTTAGGTATTAGGTATGTAAATACATGAGAGATGGGGGGGGATATGTGGATCAATACTCATGATATAATTGGGTGGAGGGCTTGTATGTGGATAGATTACTTGCGTGTGATTATGATGAAGAGAGGTAAATGAAAGGGAAAGTAGTGGTTAGAATTGAGTAACATTATCCTCCAGCCCAAAAAACAAAAAAACTAAGCAAATTTTCAAGATAGAAAACAACAAAGTAATCTGGAAAAGCTGAATAAAATTGATTAAGTTTTGTTAAACCGTGAATGCTGTCATAAAAGGTACATGCAAGGCATTTTATTTTATTTTATTTTGTGGGGCAAAATTTTGAAAAACACATTAGAGGCCGGCTAACTTGGCTTGAACCTATTCATGAATATATTGGTGGAGAAACTAATAAGAATATACTTGAGTGTGAGTGTAAGTATAAATTACTCGAGGAATCGAGCATAGATGAATAGAAAAATAGGACATTTTCAGTAGGGGCTCCTTCGAAAAAAAGTTTATGTTTTTACATTTAATTTTCTATATTTATTGTTGTTGGCCCCTGACATATTTAGGTTTGTCTCGTCTTGGACTTCCAAGTGTAGGACCCTAGATTCTTTTCACCCTTTTTGTCATCATGACTCAAGTTCTTGGAAGAAATGAACTCCCACTTGAATTGTTGAGTCATGGGAGTTAAACACTTGGCCTCGAGGGATCATCCTTCAACATCAAGCTACACATGCTTAGATGCAGTTGCTTGGTTACTTAGTCTTAGTTACCTGAGTTCAATTGCCCGAACTTGTTTACCTAGCCTCAATCACCCGACCTTGGTTATCCAACCTCATTCGCCTAATCATGGTAACCTTAGCTTAGTCACTCAGCCTAGGTTGTTCGTCATTCCCGAAAAAGACAGTTGTGTCTGACTGTCCAAAATATTACTTTAATACATCTGAGAAGACTTCTGTAGATGGATGGATTTTGAGCCATCTAATTCTAGATAATTTCAACCGTATGATCTGTGAAGTCTCGGACGGTGGTATTTTGGTTGCACATATTTAGGTTTCTGATTTTTTTATATCTTTCAAAATTGTGTTTCAATTAAAACGACAGAATTAAATTTCAATAATTAGCCTTGTGTTAGAAGTAAATGTCTATAGTACAACTACCTCCTTTAAATTTGAGTTTTTAGCTT